AAAAAGAGCTCAGCTAGATAACGCTTCAAACAGAATTAAAATCGCTCTCAGCAGCCAGTTATTATCCAGTTCTAAAGTTAGGGCAAGTTCGGCCGTGTAACATTATTTTCGTTGGGCAGTTTATTGCAAGCTGAACTAAGCTGTGCATATACAGAGTGTCGAAGAAAAGCTTTGCTACCACTAGGATCTCGAAAAGAGTCGGAAATGGGAATTCTTTTAGAGTTGATTTCACAAAGCTAAGTTAAGTGAGAAAAAGCGAATTTTGAGCATCTTTTTTTTTCAATCACTGCAAAAAAATTAGTCCAATATTGCGATGTATCGATGGCCTGTTGAATCTCAGGTTTTTTTACAAAAAAAGGACGCCAAACCAGGGGCGGATCCAGCTTTAAAGTCAGGGGGGGGGGGTTATGTAGAAAAAATACAGTCTTCTGTTATCTATAAAATTAGGAAAATTATCGTCGTTTTGTGCAAGGGTGGCGCAAGATTTTTGCAAAATTTCATGTCTTCCGTCCCGTTTTGCATGTTTCTCGGAAGCAAAATGAGCAAGAAAGCTCGTTTTTACATCATTCCAGAGATAACTAAATGGCCTCTACTCGAAGTTTATCAAGAATCATTCGAGCCACAGAATTCGTTTTGGCATCGTTGGATAGAGAATTGAAAACTCGATTCAGTAGTAACAACGTGAGTGAGGAAATTCGAATAGTTTTGAACCAGAGAGCGAAAATTGAATATCACACACTTCGGTGCAAGATTATGCCCAAATTTCATGTTTTTCGTCCCATTTTTGCTCATTTCTCGGAGGCAAAATGCGCAAGAACGCTCATGTGTACCTCATTCTAGACAGAAATAAATGGCCTTTTTAGAAAGTGAACCATGGATGGGGAAATGTTGGCAGTTTTCTCAAAAAAGGCTTGAATTCAGGAAGTTTTAGATTTGCGTGGTTTTTTTTAAGTTGCAAAATCCACTTGAGCATGACGCTGCTTTTTTCGAAGTTTCTCAAGAACCAGTCGAGCCGGAGAATTCGTTTTGGCATCGTTGGATAGAGAATTGAATGGATCCGCCCTTGCGCCAAACGATACGGAACTATTTCCTTTGCAAGAAGTAAAAATCAATTAAAATTATCAATAGCTCAACTTTCCGCATAAATCGGTAGGATCAAACAGACTATTGTTTGAAAAAAAATTAATTAATTGTTTCATTTAATTATTAAGTAAATACATTTAAATATTAATGTTTTTATTACAAATTTAAATGTTTCATTCTTTTCATTAGTGAATTTAATTGTTGTTTCTCTTATTGCTCAGATATTCGTCGAAAGATTTTGTTCCTCATGATTATAAAATGAATATAATTGAAAATATCATCAATATATCGCCACCCAATTAACCTCATAAAACGCGATGGAAATTTAAATGTTGTTAAGCAATTTGTTTGTGCAATTTAAAAAATCTATGTTTGCAACGGAAAATTTTGCGCGCTCTATTAGGTACGAATTAATTCCTTAAAACTTAGCCCCTTCGTCGATTGACTTTGCAAATTTCCATTATTCTTCTTCTAGGAACAGAAGATCTGGAAACTGGATTTAGCAGAGATTAGAGAACCAGTCAACCCAAAATTTAAAACAACACACTGCTATGAAGGCATAAATCCAGATGCAAATCATGGAAAAATCGAATCAAAGTCGAAATTAGTCATGGTTCCAGTGTTTTACCCAATGGAACTTTACCCTTGAAACTGCCTGCTAGATCTTCCCACACCGATAGATAGATTTTTTATCGCATAGTCATTAAGATATTGCTCAAAATCCAGGCGTTTTGCCAACATAAACCACTGAATGAACAGGAACGTCGATTGATAATAAGACAATTAAGAAGTGTTTCGTTCACATTCCTATCACTCATCAGGAAATTAATTTTCCATTGAAAAATGTGTGCGTTGACGGGCTCGAGGCAAAGTAGTTAACATTATAAAGGCGAGTTTTACTCTTCTCTTCGCTTTTTTTGAGGAAAATGTTTCATATTAATGAAAAACAAAACTGAACAGATCGCAAATTTATAGTGGCTTGCCGTGGAAGCATCAAGAGTCTGATGTATTTTGCCTCAAAAAATTAGCGTCTTGTTCGTGTTACACTTTCAGAATTAAATTCAAGCTACGATCAAGCTGAAAATGCTTGCAAGAACTTTAATATCTTCATCTTTAAAAACGGAAAGGCTGTCTTTGCAATTTTCCCAAAATAATCTGCTTAGCTTTTGCAAAAATACGCATTTTACAGTTGTTGTAAGGCTCAAGGGTAGAAACTAAAGCATCATCCAAAAAGTAAAATTAGCACTGTAAATATTACTCACTGTATTGCGAACATGCAAAAGCCTTGTAACGTTCATAACAGCCGAATTATCGAAATCACAATTAACCGAACATCCGAATAATCTGGCAGGCACTTTTTAACATATCGAAAAGCATTAACACTTGAAAGGCACCAACTGAGGCCGTGGAAATGCACTTGAAAAGCGATGGCGACTTCACAATTTCCCTCAAAAATACTTTAGCAATACTTTAGATTTGTAAGCGATCAGTATTTACTGTTTCCACCAAGTTCATTTCGCTTTAGCTATGCGGCCTATGTGTTTATATGTCGGATTGGTCTGGTATTTATTTTTAGAATTTTTAGTTGATCCCGAATCGTTCTCAAACATATTAAATGAAACTCTCGCAAACCATAACTGTCAGAGCCATGGATCTCGACATTTATTTATTCGCGTTGTTTTTCCCCCGAATCTAATACGTTTGTGGTCTTTCTTCTCCTGCTCATCCAGCTGCAAATGAGCCAAATTTCATTTTTCCGGCTAAAGTTCGCTCCATTTTCAGTTATGCAACACCGATAACTGAAAATGCGGTCTACTTGAAAAATTCGAGTATTCGAACCTCCTCATCGCTAAGAGCGAGTAGAAAACCAACGAACTCAAGAAAATTGGTCCTGATTTGAATTTGGAGCGCATTTGAGTATTTTTCAAACATTGCCAGCTCATGTGATTTTACTCAGCGCTCTAATGCTCTATATATGAATTTTGAGATTTTGGAATTGTTGACTCCCAAAAAAATGGCCCCGAAAGTGCACCCTCTGCTTAAAAAATTTGTAACTTCTAATCTGGAACAGGTAACCACGTGAAATTTTCATAGTCTATAGAAGATACTTGAGGTTGTTAATGGTCAGAAATTTATTTAAAACGCACCGAATCCAAATTTTTGGGGGGTGTTAAAAAATGACGATAACAAACGCAGCTGCACCCGCAGTTTAAAAAGTTCTGTTTCTAAAAAATGCAGCAAGTAGCCCCTTGAAAGTGTCACAATATATAGAAGATACCTAAATCTGAAAATCCTCGAAATTTTAATGAAATCGCACTTAAACCCGATTTTTGCCGACTTGGACAAAGTTAACTCCAAAACAACTGTTTCTCCACAAATGCACCCTCTCATTAAAAAAATCGTAGCCTCTAACCTAGAACAGGTAACAGCCTGAAATTTTCGTAGTCCATGTAGAAAGATTGAGTCTAAAAATTTGGAAAATTCTGCTCAAATCGCCACCGGCTTTGATTTTTGCCGACTTGATAAATGTTGGCATAAAAATGGGAGCTTTCATGCAAAAGCACTCTTTATTTCAAAAAATTCTAACTTCGAATCCAGCGCAAGTATCAATGTGAAACTATCGGGAACCGGAGAAGACAGTTGAGTCTCAACCTACTCAAAATTACGCCCACATCTCTCCGGTCCTCGATTTTTGTGGACTTGCTAAATGTTGGCCTAAAAATCAGCGTGCCCATACAACTGCCCTCTGCTTGAAAATTCCTAACTTTCTATTTAAATCAAGTAGCTTCCTGAAACCTTCACGGTCTATAGAAAACAGTTGGATATCAAAATCCAGAAAATTTCGCCTGGATCGTGCATAAACCCTGCTTTTGACCGCTGACTTGGGAAAAGTTGGCATAAAAGTTGACTCAAAAACAGCTCTTTCTCCACAAACGCCTGATTCAAAAATTAGTAAGTTCTCATCTGGAACAGGTAACGGCCTGAAATTTTCGTCGTCTATAAAAGACGACTGAATCTAAAAATTCTGAAAATTATACTCAAATCCCGAAAGGCTTCGATTCTTGTCGACTGGTTAATGTTGGCATACAAATGAGCGTTTGCACGCAAAGGCGCTTGAAGTCGCTACTTCGAATATAGCACAAGTATCAACTTGAAACGATCAGGGACCGTAGAAGATAGTTGAGTCTCAAACTACTCAAAATTACGCCCAAATCTCTTCGGTCTTCCATTTTTATCGACTTGGTCAAGTTGGCCTAAAAATCAGCGTGCCCACACAGCTGCACACTCTGCTTGAGAAATTCCTAACTTTCAGTTTAAAGCAAGTAGCTTCCTGAAACCTTCACCGTCTATAGAAGACATTTGAATCTCAAAATAAAAAAAAATCGCCTAAATCATCCCAAAACCCTGATTTTGAACGACTTGGTAAAGTTGGCATAAAAACTTGACTCAAAAGTTTTCTCCACTAATGCGTCTTCTGATTCAAAAATTCGTACCTTCTCATATGTAACAGGTTGCAACGTGAAATTTTGAGTCTATAGAAAACACTTGAGTCAGCAAATGGTGACAAATTTAATTGAAATGCACCAAACCCAAATTAGTAAAAATGACCAAAAAAAATGAACACTACACCCTCTACTTAAAAATTTTCTCACTTCTATGCAGAAAGTAACAACAAAGAAAGTAGCCACAGTCTAAAGGAGATACTTGAGTCTGAAAATCGTCGAAATTTCAATAAAATCGCACTCAACTCTGATTTTTTGCTCGCAATTGACTCAAAAATAGCTTCAAAACTTCTAATCTGGAACCCGTAACATGAAATTTTCTTAGTCTATAAGACACTTGAGTCTACAAATGGTAAAGGCGTGCAAAAAAGTGCGGAAAATTGCCCCTGAAACAAAAAGGATAAAAAACATATAAATGGCAAATTATTTATTCATTACAAGATACTTGCTTATAAAAAATGTACCGCTAAGTTTAGGTTAACCTTCTTTTGCCTACGTAAGCGTTTGAAAATAAATACACTTCATGTTATATCTATCACTTTTTTTTTGTTTTTCTTGTCATATGTACAACTAAAATGTATAACTTTGATTTGATAACTGTTCGAGAATAACTTTAGTACAAAACATATTTCAGAAATCTTGCCATCATAGCGTTTAATTTGTTAAGTATGTTACAGTAAACTCTTATAAAGAGTACATTGATCATTTCTAACAAGTATTTATGTCGAAAATGGAATTTTTACGGGCCGGGAAACAGTCCTAAAATTCCTTTAGTGGCCCGTTGATAAAAATGTACAAATCCTTAGATTGAATCGTCGAAATTTCAACGGGTTGAGACTGCGGTTTGGAATGCTTCCTTAATCGATTAGTGACAAAACGCGAAAGCACAACTGATTGAGCATAAATCGTTTATTTTCCACCAACGTAATATAAAACGGCAGTTGAATTTGGATTTGATACATTTCCAACCCCAGTACTCTAGTTTCTCCGATAATAACATCTATGCAATAGCCTGCCGAAATATCAACTTTCCTTAAGTAATAATTTACAACAGCGCAACATAGTTTACGGCATTTCTAAATATTTTCCATTCAGCTTAAGAATGTCGGCAAATAGAAAAAATCAACTTAATACCAACATCCCGAAAAGATTTATCTTTTCAAGGGTTTGTTGACGTGATGAAACGATAGTAATTCTACATAAACATATTCAAATAACAGAAGCTGCAAAACAACATAATACAAAAACATAATCGATCCCGACAGAAACATGTGATGTGTAACTTATTAAAAGTTAGAAACCACTGGAATGGTTGCATTAATAAACAAGAAAAAATACCCCAAACTCCTAACTAAAAACTACTAAAATGTTTAAAAATTGTAATGTTTTTTATTCATTCTTCATTGAGTGGGTGTCATTTAAAATTTGTTTGCCTCAACGGCTAGATGCATTATCCAGAAACTCTGAGAGAGAAATGTAATTTTTTAAACATTCCGTTCAATTTCAGTAGAGCCATTTCTAAGCGTCAAATCAAGTGAATTTTAGAAAAGGGTATTCGAGCAGCTATATGAAACATGCGAAATGTATGCTTAAAGTTGAGCACATATTAAACCAGGCAAAAGCAGTGATTTGAATATGTACGGACAGTGTCAATCAAGGCATGGGCACTACAGTTGAATTTCCGTTAAAGCCAAAGGGTCAGGTTCGAATCCCAACTTATCAGACTTGATTTGCTTACTCTCAGCGCATGTAAAAAAATATCAAAGTACCATATCCGATAAACCCCGGTACGCTACAAATATGCCATGTCGATCCAACCAGCCAATGTTGTTAGTTCGCATTCGAAAACCTTTAAATTCAGATTCCAGTAATGAAAAGAACTGAATAAGTATTTTAGTTATGCATTAATAATCGACATTGACATATTCCATAAAACATAACGAAACTGAACACAATACTTACTGAACTAAATATTACAATGATTAAACTACTAAAACAATTTATATAATATGTACAAAATAGAGCGAAAGATACAATTTGGAGAATTGGTAAAGCTTTGAGATCATCACCATTTGCGAGCAGTTTCATTTAACAAATACACCATTTTTGTAATTTAATCCAATTCAACTAAACACATTCAAGTCAAGCACGAGTGCGACCAAATAGGAGAAGAGAGCCGACAAGCGCTTATTTGTAAAGTTTTTAATTGACGAGTTAATTCGAATTAAATTCAGATGAACAACGAATTTCCCTCATTTACAAGGATCACGACTATGAAAACCTAGAAAAATATCATGATAAAGCATCTACCCGTATTTTGGTTTACGCTCACTTTAGCAGAAACGACGCGTATTTGCTGTGTGTTAACCATGCATAAGTTGTATTCTCAAACATTTACCAAACTCAACAAATTCTAGACCTAGGAAACTTAAATGTTAATCACAGAGTTGCTGGTCACAATGACACAATAATACATTATTGTTTTCAGATTGACCTTGTAAACTAACCGAAAGGTCGGGCTTGAAAATTCGACCATCTTGGTACAAGGCATTTGAAAATAAGTCGCACCTGTAAGACTCTGTAATTTTCAAAACCGAGCTACGTATTAGTGCAGAGACTTTAATGAAATAGTTAACTACTAGTACATTTAACAGACTTTGATACAACGCTTTAGAAACACTGAACTGCAAATCTCCAATCGCACGTCAATGGTCTGTACATGAATGTGAGGCTGTTAAATTTAACACCTGAAATTCATACATTGTCAAAAACATTAATTAACAATTTACGTAGTTGTTGCATGGCTTTTCACTGGAAAAAACTTCAACACGTTTACTTACCTCCTACATTTGGTCTACCTTCGATGATGTCGATCTTTTTGGCTTGATTTCTCCACATCTGTCCATTCCGGATCGTTGGGATCTTCCTCATCTTCATCCTCCTCCATAAAAATGTCATCATCATAGTCCATTACTGCGTCTTCACCTAAACGAAGCCATCATATTAGGACTGAACGAAAACCCTACCATCAATAATTCTTACATTCTATGGCAGATTCCGTAGATTCACTGTCCACGGATTCTTGAGTCTCAGATTTTGCAATGACATCATCTCCAGTATCTTGCGCCCTATAATTGGTTTTTACCTCCCTATGAGCGTCAGGCATTTCCTGGATCATACTATCATAGTCCTTGTCAACTAGGGGAAAACTTCGAGTCTCATAAGGCGGTTGCTGCAAAAAAAAAATTTCAACAATTGAAAAATTGTCAGTTTGTGACCAAATCTACCTCCACGTAATCCACTGGTGGTCCTTCTTCCTTGACCTCCCTGAACCTGGATTGAGACGTAGTTCGTCTTCGCATCAGGGCAATTGAAGGCAATACGTCTTCGTTTCCAGGCACAGGCGTTGGAGGAGGAGAGGCCATTAGAGGAAGTGGAACATCGGATCCAGTTTTTGCGCCTTCAGGACGTGGACTGGCTGGATCAGGCGTATTTGCTCCCGATGATTCCGCCATGCTGTCGTTCCTCTTATGTGATCGCGGCCGGCCAACACCCAACGGAAATTTCAAATAACTCAAAAAGCGCTTCTTCTCGTCGTGCTCGCAACGGTCATGACGAGCTATCACAGCTTCTTCAGAAAGATCTTCAGTCTAAAATTAACGCGAAGTTTCGTCAGTAAGGATATTTCGAAAAGCTACTGGACTTACGTCGTTCTCCTCCATAAAATCAGCCACACTTCCATTGCTTTTAATATCAGATTTCGCAAACAACTCTTCTTCCGCTATCCTCCATCTGTAATTAAGAACAAATAATTAAAGTACTGGCCTTGAAATAAAAATAGACACATAGAATGAAGAGAGAACACTTACTTAGGTGTTAGAATTTCTTTGTATTGAAGCTTCTCAACTCGTGTGGCTGCCGCTACACTGTAGGGTATCACAATATTGTCGATATCGTATGAGTCGGCGGCCCGGTTGTTGCGATTGTTCTGCTTGTAGCCTGATATCGACTGAAAATCAAGAAAAAGTACGTTAGTCAAACGGTCAAAAAGAACATAAATAACCCGAATTATTGGGGAGTGTGGGTTGTCACGTTTACCTACCTGCATTTGCAGTAGAGGCGAGCCTCCCGGTGAGTCAAACGGAGTGGGTCTAGTTTGCGACGCATTTACTGCAAGCACCTGAGATCCTTTTCCAATAGTTGCTTCCACTTCAGCATCCTCTGATCCACCCGTTTCGGTATCCGGAACTAAGCTGTGTCGCTTATTCAGCTTGGTTTGTCGACCCGCTGCTCTCCTGCCTCGCAATTTCTTCTTAATTTCTAGCAAAAACAATTTGTGAATTAAGCCGCAGTTCCAGACGCTGACCAGTGGACTTACTCTCTGACAAAGCAGCTGCGGTGCTAGACTTCAACCGGCTGTACTTTTTCCGGTGCTCCAGCTTCTTCGTCCGGTGTTCGTAAGATCTGGGTTCCATTCTTTCAGGTTTGTGTAATACCTTTATCGTTTTCATTTTGATACTTCTTTGTTGCCACTCGTTCATCTTCATGATGGCTTCAAAATGTAGGGTTTGCGAGATATCTGAAAATCACGAAACGTGAGAGAAGTCCGGGAAAAGGAGTGTAAGTGATAATACCTTCCGGTGCCGATAGTACTCGGTGGTAACAAGGATCCAATAAGACGACTTTTTCAGCACTTCCCAAAGTGTCTGTAGAGTCTCGCGGATGGGTAGGATCTGCTCGTCCCGTGCAAAGTGCACATGGGTTTTTCAGTACCATGCAGTTGCACCTAACTGTACTCGGACGCGCTGCATTCTTAGAAACGGCATGTAAACCACCAATCTGCAAATAACAGGTTTGTTGAAGTAGAAGAATCGCAAGGACAAAGCACTGAAAAACTGTAAACGATTTTTTTAAATCTCACCTGTAGCAGTCGCCTTTTCTTAAAGTTGACCAAGGGTCTCGTCCTTGCGCAATATTGGCAGTCATCATCATCAGATGATTTCGATCCAGTCGCGCCTGGAAGCTGTCCAACATATCCATTCAATGGCATGGAAACATTTGTACTTTCGACCGGAGAAGCTCCGTAATCTGGTTGGAATAAAGCAAAATCTTAGGCTCTAAAAGCGTTTTTCAAGGAAGTTCTCTACCATGATGTCCAGCAATCTCAGGCTGCGATTGCACAGGTTTGGGCCGAATGACAACCTCGCCCAACTCTATCACTCCTTTCACAGTTGTAAGCCTCTTATTCAACTCGGCATGCTGTCTGATTCTATATTCCAGGTCGGAAATCTGTGATTGCAGCCAAGTCCATCGGGCTGCAATTGATGCCCTCTCCGTAGAGTATTTCCAGAGGGCCCGCTTTTGTCTGAAACGAACAACAAACGTTTAATAGTTTTGAAACACACACGCAAAGCATACTTTTAGGATGATCCAAATGATTCGAAATCGGAACATAACGCATATTTCGTATCATTCGCAAGCGAGCAAATTAAAAACATTTTATAGGAGCGAGATTGGGCACCTATTAGTCATGTCATAGGTACAATACAATTGGTCTTGAAATAACTACATTTTTATCGTGTATTAATTATTATCTCATATCAGCCACCATACATTATGGAATACGTAAACAAAAAGTCGATTTTGAATACTAGAGCATCCTAAACGTTTTAAACTGAATCGACCAGACGATAATTTGATAAAAAAAAATCCTGACTAATCGTCAAGATTGTAGTGTGATCACCATCATCAACTTTTCGCGGATAGATCACAATCCGGATTTGTCTCTGTGGCTGCTGGTAGGGCACTCATTTTCTCAATTAGTTAATTTATATCAGCGTTTTCTCGGCTCTGAGATTTGGCAGCTGGGAAGCTTAACATTTACTCTTTAAAATCGTTTTCTGTTGGTTTTCAACTCGAAAAATCCATAACTTTTTAACAAATTGTTTTCTAGCTTTCTTGCCTCCAAGATATGCTGTTGAAGATATTTGCAACCGAAACATTCCTGTGTGACTAACTACGAAATGTATTATTTCATCAATTGCTAAAATACTGATTTGTAGATCTACCTTTAGAAAAATATTGCTGAATCGCTATCGAAATTAGTGACGGAAAGAATAACGTTCAATAATTCCATTACAAAACGAATCTAACTTGTTTGAACGAGTAATTTTTTAAAATGTTTCAAATTAATAATACGCGGCGATAGCTTAATTCTCATTAGCGAAGAGGAAAATGCGATATGTGCGTTTATTGATATCGCGGGATGTAATAGGAGACGTTTTATCGGAACATAGATTTTGATTTAAATACATGAAGTCGAAAACATGCAACTTTTAGGAAGGACGTAAATATGTAAAACATATTGAGATTGGAATCTCCTCTTAACAATGCTGTGGCTATATTTACTTGACCGCTAATCGAACAGTAGGAAATTTGTTGTTTATAAAAAAGGCACTCATTACTTAAGTCATGGCAAAGAACGTTGGTAATTGCCGTCTTCCAAAAGACCATAAATGCTAAGGCAAAACCCCAAATAAATATTTGGAAAAGCTCTTTCTCTCATTTAAATAACGACTCTCTAGTCGTTATTTAAATGACACAAAAATTAATCGTTATATGCTCTACAAGTCTCTGCTGGAAGTGCATACTTACATGGTAAGGTACTGTTGGTGAGGATTGTTGTAGGTTTGAAACTCGTCACAACTTTCCCCACCCGAACTGCTCTCAGTTGCTTCCGAATCTAATTGATCTTGTAGTAGATGCAGTTGCACCTTAAGTTGATCAGTCACTTTCCTCAGTTCCTGTTTATTATCCGCTGTCCACTGGGGAATGTTCACTTGACCACTGGTACTGTTCCTAAATAGTGAAGCTTCAATTGAGCCCGATCCGAAGTATTTGGGTACATTCTTCTGCCTGGCGAACGCGTTGGCTTGTAGAGATTTAGCCATTTCCAGCTTCTTGACCAATTGCTTAGCCGATAGTGCGGTAAGTGGCTTGAGCTTGTCCGCTGAGTCATTGCAGGATGCCCCGAAGGAGTTCAAGGTGTCATTGTGGTCTTTTGGTTTTTTAATTGTGCGATGGACATGTTCGAAAACGCCCACAACTTCAGCGCTTATGTGCCTGCCCATCAGTCGGCTTTGTAGCTTAAGGCAGCGCCGCTTAAGAAAATCAAGCCTCCGCTCTATTCGCCAATGCTTGCCTTTGAGGTCGGTGAGCTGCTCATTTGCTTGGGTCTCTTTCATCTTCTGGGCAGTTTCCAGATCATCTGGCTGATCATCAATGCCCATATTCATCATGTTATCCACATGCTCCAAAAGCTCCTTATCGATGTTGATGTCGAGCACCTCAGTGAGGTCAGTGGAGGAATTATTCAGCTGGTCGCTGTTCTCGATGGACTTGATTACCTGTTGCATAATATCCTCAACATTCGCTTCCAGATTGGCATTGAAAAGCTGATCCACGTCACTGGAGTTTCGACTATTCTTGTTCACATTACTTACAGTCAGTTCAGATTTCTGGAGGCCCATTTTATCGTCGGAGTCACCCATAGGTGAGGAGCTCAGACTCATGTTATTCTCAGTAAAACAATTGTCCGAGGCCCCGTTGAAACTGGACAAGTAGCGATCAAGTACTGCAGTTTTGGGGCAGGAATCAGAATCCGAATTGAGGGCCTCCAAACTGGTGCTCAGATCATCAGTGTTCAAGGGACTGGCCGGTTTACTGCTATTTTTTTCAGCCGCGGCAGCAGGCGGGAATTTGCTTGTTTCGAAACTGTTTATTGGCGACGCCGGTTCCAAATGACTTTTGGGCGGTAAATCAAAGTTTTGGGCTTGGACGGTGTCTTTAAGCGCTGGGGCCATGACATCCACATGGGGACGCCTCACCGAGGCTGTACGCAATCCCATTCATCCAGTGTTTTTCGCAAAACTCATCATGTTACTATATAAACAAGCTAAAAAACCATAAAAAAGAGCACTTGATCGATAATCCGACGCGGAATAACATCAATATCAGCCGCTACCAGTTTATTTTCGATCGGTAAATACGTTTTGCCGGCAAATTAGACAGCGAAAACATACAAGTTAACCGCGGAAATGAGGTGTTTGGGGGTGCCCGATGCATCACTGATGTCCTGAAGAAGGACGAGAATCTTCTCGAATTGATTTTCCAGTCGAACAGCACATTTCCAATCACACGTAACTAGCAGGTATTTTAAACGGAACACTCCCACGTGACAAGGCGAAGCTTACGAAACGCGAAAGCGTTTTTACGGAGCACGGAGTCCAAGCACAAATACGCATACAACAAACATTGCACCACTTTTTGCACTTTTACGGGACGCCAATCCGCCCGACAATCGTAAACTTTTCGCGTTAGAAAGCGGGACAATCGGACCGAACAACCACCGGAAATGGGCAGACTTTTAACTGTTCCTCTTCCGTGTGTTTATTGAACAACAATGGCGACTTTCCTTAAAACAGCCGAACAACGCACTCGTCCATTTGCTTTTTACATTGAAGGAATGGCATGAGCGGCGCGCGACGATTGCTGATACAGAGCAAACGCAACTTGCTGGCCGGAATCGCCTATTTTCGTACATCAATAGCCCGTAGTGTCTGGATTATGGCTCCAACCGTCTTCTGGATGACTCCCGAGGTGTGGCAACCCGATTTTTTGCCGCCTCCTGTCGTCCAAAGTCTCTTCTTTGGCGTTTTATTTGCCTAGAAAAATTCCCAAACCAACCATCTAAACAGGCTCGCCTCTACAGCGCCCACTATCCACTGCTCAATCAACTAGTGGTTGTCATCACTCAAAGCGGGATATTCAAATTCACTTTTCTTGACCTCGGCTTCTCACTGTTTCTAAAAACAACAATCAAACCCCCATCTCATTTGCTTGTCTTTATCTATGAATCTCATTTCCAGACCCATACTTTTGAGCCCGTCAACACCCCGCAAAACAATTCAACCCGAAATCACGCACTGAAAACTTTTACAGATATTCCAAGAAAACTTAGATTTTCTCAGCAGGCTTCTCAACTTTCAAACAGGGGCAAACCCTCCCTGGTGTTGAACGAAAGCATGAAAAGCCCCCCGGGGAGCTGCTGTGGAAGTTTTAGCTCAAAACCGCCGACGCTATTTATTAACTAGTGAATGTTGAGTTCTATTACCTGCTGTCGTTCTGTAGCCAACCACGAGCTGAATCCTGGGGCCGGTTGCCTCCATGGCCTGAAATCCCAAGAGAAAAACAGTTTTTCGGAAAAATTATCCTATGTTGACTACTAGCTAACGTCAAAATGCTTACGGGGAAAGGGGTTGCTCCATTTACCAATCAACGTTGCCGCCACTTCCTCCAGTTAATTCCTGCGTATTTTAATTCTGAGTTTGAGGAGTATTTATTGCGTCAAAAAGAGTCAGCAAGTAGCGAAAATCTGATTACAAAAACTGAAAAAAAAACAGGATCTATACAGCTTAATATAGAATAATTTTCCCGAAATCACTCATAAATTTGCACATTCTCTCCAATTGCAAGGGACAAAACGAAAGCTCTGACAACACCGGTCCAAACTCACGCTTTTTTCCGGTTTTTTAGAGGTTATGTTTATGTGTTAGTAACAATTTTGGGGCTGATTTTAGTGCTTCTGCATTACCATGGCAAATTTCTTAAAAATCGCGTATGATTCTACCGAAGCTGCTGATATAACTGTAAGTATTCAAGCAAATGTCAAGGCCTCAGAGCCAGCTTTTAATAGATAGTGAAACATGTAGGTACTTAGAGGCCTTCTACTGTTCACACTGATGTTCAGTTCCAAATGCTCACTTAAAGAGTGTCTCGTTTAATGTTCACCATGTACCACGAAGTTTGTGCGTTGATCTGTTCTGTGCTTTTGGGCTTTTATTAACTTTCTGCAGACTTGCACATGCATAAAACCCCCGTTCACTGAAAACTGAAGGCTCCCAGGGCTTGATGTGCGGCCTGGAAGTTTCCAAGTCCATCTTTAGCTGACGGTTCGGAAGATTAACATCATGTGTTCCACCCCTTGTGTAGAAATTTGCGAATTATGCCCCCCAGCACAAAGGCGATGATAATGCTTGAAAGGCGAGCAGTAGGCTTTAATTAAATTAAAATTATTTGAAAAAAAATCGATATTAATTAGATCGTCTTGTTTTCGGGTGAGGAATTTTTTGGAGTAATTAAAAATTGAAATATATAATTGCTTACAGAAAGATAGTTTTGAGCTGAATAATAGTTAACAGTTGAACAATAATTAAATCCTTTACAGAAAGATAGTTATGAGCATCGGAACACGCCCTTTGCAAACAGTTCCGTTTACGAGGCCTTTGTGGAAGAATCCGAACTCCTGACTGAAGGAGATGATGTTAAACCCACCTATCGACTGAGATTGGACGTTAAGGTTTGCTTCTTTAGATTGTCTCAAATGAATTTATTTAAATCACCAATTTAGGACTACGACTTCAATTTCCTTCCTGGAGATGTGATTGGGATTCTGCCTGAGAACAACTCAAGCGAAGTGCAGAAGCTACTGAACCATCTGAACTTAACTAGCGTGTGCCATTGGAAGTACCATTTGAGCATACAGGAAGGTTCTAAGAAAAAGATTCCCAAACATTTGCCGCCGTCCTCTACATTGTATGAAGTGTTTTTAAAGCATATTTGCCTTAGATCTGCCCCAAAAAAGGTACTTTAGCCCTCATTAACTGCTTTTATATCTACTGCCTTGATTTGTTACAGCTATTTTTAAAGAACTTGATCAAATACACAGATGATGTCAAAGAGAAGGCTTTGCTAGAGCAGGTCTGCGCCCCAACTGGCTCAGCTGAGTATATCAAGCTTCTGGAAACAACCCGCTCTCTATTAGCCCTGCTTGAATCATTTCCATCTTGCCAGCCTCCAGTAGAAGTAATTTTAGAGCACTCATCACCGTTGAATCCCAGATGCTACTCCATTGCGTCGTCTCCTTTAAGCAATCAACTCTGGATACTATTTAATGTTCTGGAAATGTCCAATAGCTTAAAAGGAGTCTGCACCAGCTGGCTGGAACAGATCATCAAGGCACAGGACTTCTCCAAACGAGTACCGATCTATTTCAGAAAACCTGGAAAGTTTCATATGGACAATTCCGTAACTGCAAAGATTCTGGTTGCTACTGGAAGCGGATTGGCCCCATTCATGGGCTTTTTGGACCACAAGTCTTTAGGAGGATCCGTCGCAGATATGTGGCTGTTTTACGGCTGTCGGTACAGTGATAGGGATTTTTTGTGCAAAAAAGACTTGTTGAACTACGCAGCCACTGGCACCCTAGGAAAGAAATGTTGGGCTTTCTCAAGAGACGGCAAGAAAAAGGAATACGTGCAGGATAAAATCGAGGAGAACAAGGAAGAGTTTGCAAAGTGGATTTTCGAAAAGGAAGCGATGGTTTTCGTGTGTGGTGAACTGAAAACAGTGGTGCGTGATGTGAAGGAAGCGATAGTGGAGTCTATAATGACCCATAAGAAGTGCGAGAAGGCTACAGCGTGTCTTGTTCTAGAGGAGCTGGTGAAATGTGATAGAATCATTATTGATTCCTGGCTGTAAACTGCAGGTTTTTTAAATAATATTCTATAAAACATTCTGTGAATGTATAATAAATTTTATGTATTTATTTTTACTTTTCCTGTCCAAAACCACGCCCATATAAATAAATCTACGTCATGGTCCAAGCACAGATCATACCCCCAGGGGGGTATTTTGTGGGTCCAAGTAGCCCAAGAGTTTACCTGACAGTTAAATGTAAAAACTTAACCTATCACTTTCAAAAACAAAGACCTACCTTAAATTAAACCGCTAAAATGGAATTAAATAAGAATTTAGTTAGAGTACAAGCTACACTAATGATGTGTGCTAAGGAAATGGGAGATTTTACAAGAATAAATTATGTTGGAGGTAAGTCGAGCCCCTTTTCGTCCCAAACTCTGGAAAGTTGGAATTTGCAGGGAATGAGGGGCATATTCTGAAGCTCACCAGCCAGATGGCAAATTGTCTGGCTCGAAGCCATTTATTGGAATTACCAGATAAGCCATCGACAAACCACACAAGCGAGCTTAATGAGGTGGTGTTTTTCTTGGCTTTGAACACCAAGTTTAACAGACAGTTGCCCCAGCTTGAGCAGCAGTACCGACACCTAATTAACATAATACCGCAGATCTCCAAGTGTGTTCTAGCTAATATTTGTTTCGGCATTAACCTGGTGTCGCACTACGGTTATGTGATTGAAAACTTGCCCTTAGAAGTCACTGAGGAGCTTCTGGATCAGACAATTGATTGCTTGAAGAAAGGCCAGTTGTATGATAATCTTCATAACGCGTTCGTCATCTTGAAGAGCACAGTCAACAAGGTTTCCGCGCTTACATCTACAACTGAAGTATATACTTAGACCTCATGAACAGGCATTGCATAATTTCCTAATTTCTTCTAAAGATGTCTGAAGATGTGCTAAGAGCCGCCAGCATAATTCTACAGAATGTCACCTTTATCACCACAGAGGAAATCGAATATAGAAATACCCGAAAGGTGTACCATCACATGGGTTTCATCGTGCTTCGTCTGCTAGACTTGATGTTGCATGTAGACCCATCCAAAGACGTAGTTGCAAAATTCATCCCAGGTCTTGTATCGACAACATGCGGCCTTCTGAAATGCGTTACAATTGATGTATACTGCTCATGGGTAGAGGTAAACTCGACTGTTTCGCATTTTGGTCAGTAATTTTTAGTGAAACCTTGCAGATTAACGAAGGCGACGAAGTCCTGCAGGCGGTCATATCAGGCAAGGCCTATGTAGTATTGGAAAAGTACCAGAAGAACAAAATGGCCTCGGAACTCGTAAGCATGCTTGGCACCATCGCTCGCAAACCAAAGACAATTGCCCAGCGAATAATGGAAGCGGATACTGCCAGGAAAATTTGCATGGTAGATGAAAACGACCAACACCAAATGTCCTGGTTTAGGGCCTTGTGTCTCGACCCGTTCTCTGATGCAAAAGCTACTGCTTGCATTGAAAAGTAAGTTTGCATTCAGGCGAGTAAGTTAAGTCGGCAAATTACCCGATTTCAGATGGTGGAAATTGTGCGATGAAAGCGCTGTAGATAAGTTACTGAGCGCTCCGACGCAACAAGCTAACCAACACAAGCAACTGATTTTAAAATGCGCTTCCAACTTGGGGGTTGATGAACTGTGCAGGGTAGTAACCATACATTTCAACAAGAAAAAAACCCAGTGGTCTGAAGACATAACGGATCAGTTGGTTGTTTATTTCAACCAAGTTCACCGGGATATGAACGCAGACGAACTAAAACAGATTCTGTTGCTGTTTCTTCAGAACCCACATATTGCAATCCAACAGCTCTACATAAATGCGTTCAAAAGGAGCGATGAGCTAGTGCAGGTTTTCAAACTGTTCAAAGATGTTTCAGATGTTGAAAACATCAGCCGAAAGTTGCTGAAGGAATTATTTGAAGAGCATCCGCCATCCTGTCAGAATATGCAAAACTATATTCAACTCTTGTCCAGCATGATCAATTGCCAGTATCACACCTGGGATTTTATCGTCACCGAAGTAATCCTTACCAGGCTGGTGTTTTATAAGAAGAATGACCAACTGGAGGAGTTCAAATGCTGCCTGCAAATGCTTAAGGTATGCACCCCTCAGCAGCCGACATCGTTTAATAAATCGCAAATTATTTCAGCATTTTCGTGATTTAGACTGCCAACTATCGAAAGAAGTTGAACTGTATGAGTACATTCTGATCTGCTCATCAAAGAACCGATGTGCCTCTTTTATTAACTTTGATCAGATTAGACAAGAAATTGCCGGTCATTGCGTGGACTATATGCTGCATAAATGTGAAAAATTTCGAACACTAGAGGCCAAAAAGGAAAGCTTTCCTACTTTAGGTAAATAGAAAGATATCAGAGCCCTAAACAGTAAGAAACAAACCTTTGCTTTAGCTGAGAATTGCGCTGATCTATGGACAGAATACTACAGGAAATCCTTTTGGGAAACCAAGAAAAGCAGTTTATTGGACACAATACTTCCAGGCCTTGATTTCACAAACTACAGAGAAAGCACCGTGGATCAGAACTTCACCAGTTTACTCAAGGTACCTACTCGATATTAAAATAAAATACGGAAATTTGTTGAATTTGAGACTTTCCAGACTCTGCCACGTTGCACCCCGTCCGAATGGAAGCAGCTTTTAGAAGAACTTGCAGAGAAATTCAGCGCTAAAACTACGCTGAATGTGCTAACGGACATAATGTGTTTGTTGTGCGATTTCGCCGATAATCATTCGAAAGTGGACAGCCCAAACTCCACGCCTTTGCAAGCCATTCAATTCTGCCTGCAAAACTACGGAGCATTCACGGCATCTGTAAGAAAACCAGGGTTTCCCGACAGTGACCAAGTTACTCATTAAATTTTCCAGGCACCGGACAACATTTCCGACCAACTGGAAGTCATCAATGATATTTGCCGAGTGTTGAGGCACATTCCGGGCTATTTAACAGCAACCGAAGGCATGTGCTTAATAAACGCTCTTCCAGAGAAACCACTACAGTTTCTAGCGGCTGATGAGCAGTTTATTAACCAAATTATACTCATCAGTGATAAAGAGCTCAGACAAGCCTTGGCGCAAAAGGTATTAGCCAGCTCCCAACGAAACGAATAAAGTTCTTTCCTACTCTCTTTGCGCAAAAATCTACTTCGTTGGAGCTGAATTGTATTTATTTAAAATCTTCCGTCTGGTAGACGGCAATTAAACCTAAATGAACGCAACTTCAAAACCCGTTTAATTGTAAATAGATATATACAACATTATCTGTGTAGGCATTGATATTGGCAGAGAGGTATGAATCAATTCAGTTAGTTAGGAAGTATGTGACATTCTTCGAGACGAGCTTGTCTACGCCCAAACTAATGGGATCACGTTGGAAAACTAAACGGAAAATCTCACAAACATTAAAAGGAGGCGAAAGTTATCAGTCAGTGTTCGTTCTAGTCCGTATAGGAAACTTATTTTCGGAACTGATCAGTTTCAAAGAATCGAGCGTTTTGAATTCGGTTGGACTCAAGTCGATATCGCCGGTGCTTTTTCGCTCCGGTTCCTTCAAACCCAACAATTTCCTGGGCGCCTCAAAGCACTTCGCATATTCCACATCCAAAAACAGTTCGTGCAAAATCCTCCTAGTTATCAATAAATAGCTGGATTCCGAAAACATCTTGCACACCTCCGAGTAAACGCACACGTCTTTGAACATCGCCGAATCCTTCTGCTTCAACCTTAGCAATTGATTTTTGTATGTTCTGCTCATCACCGGGTTTCCTAGGCGTTCGGACACTTTTAAAATCTCTTCTTTCACTGGACCTAAACATAACAACCAAATAAAGACTCGAAAAAATCCCTTCAAGCACATACTTTCACTAAAATCTTCAACTTCAGCAGTTGAATTTTGGCTGCAGAGTAGGCATGTGTCTTTGAAGTGCTTCCAGCTGTCGGCATCCTTATTCGGGGGAACGGCTAGCTGGGACATTGCATCGGCTAGCGAGCCGTAAGGCTAAGGGAAATATGCGCTTAATCTCAGATGAATTGTGAAGTTAAAAATGTTTTACCTCTGGCTCAGTGGGAAACATGTCGTTTAAGGACTTAGGCAGGCAAATGCCCCTGTAAACCGCATCTTTAGGCTTGTACACTTTGGCAGGCTCGTAAATAGGATCGAATTTATATGATGTAAAGCTAGAATAGTGTATAGTGGCACACGGCTCTGTGTTGCTTAGAGTTTCGGATGTCAGCGACCGACGGCTGAAGATGCCAAAAACCAATTATAGTCTATTATCTAGGATTAGTTATAAGGATTGTAAACTTACGACTGTGGTGGAGGTCTGAAGAGATAGTCGTCGCGTTCCGTGCGAGTAAAGTTGAGCGAGTCCCTCCGCCTAATGTAGCGAATTGTCTGGTAGCCGAGCATGTTTTGCAGACTCAACTCGTTGGCATTGGTGCCCGACAAAGAGGACGTAGATGCCTCGGAACCAGCACCTAAAACAACTTTCCCATAACTGCAACTTGAACATTTCCAGGTACTTACTATTCGAAGAAACGCGATGCGAATGCCTCTCTGCCTGATTAGGCAGCCGCAAAATGCTCAAGCTAGTCGAGCTAGGAATGGGGCTGAGCGTCTGCAGGTAAGATGCACTGAAAACGCGCACATTTTAATCACGCAGTGATTGTTAGTTGAGAAACTTACGCGCCCCCTTGTCGATTCGGCAATGAATCGCAGGAACTAACACCGGATGTGGTACTCTCAGTGATTGAGCTATTTCGTTGCCGCATAATAACATTGTCGTAGGGCCCAAATCGCTGCTCAGCATCAAAACTGTTGCTAGTAGCAAACGTTTTCGACTCAGACAGAGACCTTTTGTGGCAAGTTTCAGGAGGCGTTCGAGTGGATGGCAAAGTCCGTTGTTTCAGTTTTCTGATGTCTGGGAGAACAGTTGCTTGGTGAACAAACAAAACTGAAACTAGCTCAGGCCATACCACAGCTGAAGTCCGGAGAAGTTTCACAATCGATCAGTCGCTCATCGTCCTCGCTTAGAGTGGCTTCGTCTTCCGCCTGAGCAGCGTGGTTTTGCGGTTTCCTCCATTGTCCCCAGACGGCCGAAGTGAAATAGGAAATGTCCAAAGAGTCTTGAAGCTCCTCTTCCAAAACCGGCCATTGGTCGTGCCTAAACCGCAATTTTCCTGTATGTTTCACCAAAAAAAATTAGAGAATAAAAAGTACCTATCGTGTCGTGCTGCCAACCATCCATTCAAGCACAGCTCGTCGGCTCCAAAAGGAGTGCTAGCTACCAACCCAAGGGCATAGAACGCGGTACTTCTGACGCCGTAGACTGAACACTTAGTGGCAAGTCGAATCATCCCACTGGCGAATTCTAACGACTTTAAATAGGCGAATCCTATACTCGAAGTACTTAGATGGCCCACGGCCCAAAGCGCGGCTTTCAGCTTTAAAATGCCGCCTTCGGTGTGACTTTCTCCTTTATGAATGAGCTGCAAGGCAATGTTTAAGCATTTTTTGAATAAAATCTGCAAAACTGGTGGTACCTCGACCAATCGCGTTACTGAGCCACTTGCCGTCAGCATTTGAAACCCGTCATGGTGCTGGTTCAGCTGCCCGTAAAGATGAGGAGGAAGGAATATGTCTCTTCTAGAACATTAGTCCTTAATGCTGGTCTGGCGGGGTTCAGTAGACTTACCTATAGTTGCCTCTGGTCCCCACGTTAGAGACCACCCTCTCGTACCTTCCGTCCTCACTTTTCTGATGCAAAGTCAACGAATCTGATATTTCGCCCTCGATTATCTTCACATATCGGTAGTTCATGTGGGAGTTCCAATTCGCAATCACCTCCAGAATCTTTAAGAAGCGCCCAATCAGTTAAATTTACCAGCACTACCTCGTTAATGCTTGCCTTGTCTTCGGAATTTTTCATAAACCCTTTTTCTGTTGAAAGCAACTTGATGGCCAGCAGCTCGCCCTTTTCGCCCGACTTTGCAAAATTTGGCGATAGATCTGTTAAGGTGTCCAGACAGTCGGGCAACTCACATGCTTCGAGTAGAGTTGTTAGAGCTGACAAGGTCACTTTCCTGAGGGAATATTTTAGGAATAAATCATCAGAAGCTATCTGAGCAACAAATCCCTCCACTAATCGAACGCAAAGTGAAAAGTCAGTATTTTGGCCAAATTGAGTGACCTTAGCCGATCGGCGACTTTTCACCAATATTATCATTATATGCTCACAGGAAACCTAAGGAAATAAATAAAATGAAAAACTTACCTGCATCTGTCGTCCAATTGCCTGCAAAGTAGCCTCACCGCATAAACAGCAAAGCACGGATAGCGCGCTCGAAGTAGAACCAGCAGAAATTGCGTAGCATAAAGTCTGGAACTCTCCACATCGCAGCTGAGAACTGCATCTAATATGTTGCGGGCCGGGCCAGGACAACTGTAGTCCAGAGAGGAGATGATCAGCTTTACGTAGGTCGCATGACGGGTGGTGGTAGCTAATTCTTGCAGGCTAAAAAAAATGTTTTCGCATGATGTTGATGAAGCTCAAAATCCAAGCTTACAGCGAAAACATATTGATACGTTCCAAAACAGCCCGCCCAGAATCAGTTCGGGCAAACTGGCCGATGAAGAGGAAGTAGCTTTGGCAGTGGGTGTTGATCATGTGGGATGGACTGAAGAGACAGTCGTGAACACTTCTACTGGAGGAAAGGGCAGCAATTTGGGCGTGAATGTCTTTAAACAGGTGTATGGCCATGTTCTGCAGAATTGAACAATTCTATAAATTTGCTGCTTTTTATACCAACCAACCGCCCACCTGACAATCTGGCTCTTTGACCGCAACCAGGAAATTGATAAATTCTATTCCACTGGTTGTTACGTGCATGGAATCGCTGGGTGAGCTGCCCAGATCCATATGCGAGTATTTATTTTGCGAAGGGGTGAAGAATTCGAGTAGGCGCTTCAGGAACAATTTGTGCGAAGAGTCCGTCAAGTCCAGCTTATAGCCTCGTTCCCCCTTGAAGCCACCATTAGTTAAACCTTAATGGAGGATTTTGCAAATAATTTACCTTCAGTATCATTTTTATCAAATTCCAGTTCCACAGTTTCACTTCCTTGCTCGCCAACACGCCGGTTTCCTTAACCACATCGTCCCCGTCCTTTAAAGCTGCCTAGAACAGTAACACAATGAAACACAATCGGCCCTGGAATCACACACCAGGCTCACTTTCACTTGGTTGAATCTTGACTTCAACCCTTTACTCCTAATATGGCTGCCCAGCTTTTGCTTTCCTTTTCTGTTGGAGCTGTTCCTAATTATCAGATCCAGATGCAAACTATACGATGCGGGTCTCTTTTGCATCAATCTAGTAAAAAAATATTAAACCCAAGCAATTAGTGAAAAAGTATTGGCGTACTTGTGCAACTGCTGAAGAGCTGTGATGGCAGCCATAGCTTGAGGTTTGCTTTGGGTCGCATAATCCAGAAGAGTTGGCAAAGAGGGTGACACGTTGCAGCAGCCCGGAGGCAAATACAATTGAATCAGTCTTAGGAGCTCGCCTGTATAAAAGACGCTTTTTTTTAATACGAACACGTTTTGCTTTGCTGAAACTCACTCAAAAGAACAGTGGCTCGAACACTAATAAATGTATCACTGTGGGTAATGACCTCAGTTAAAGCGGCCAAGAGTCCACTCTCGAGAAAGCAGTACAATAAGAGCGCTAAATGCATTTCGGTAGGCGATGGGGTGGTTTTGGCCAAATGGGGCAGCACTGATTTGCCCTCAGCTGCCACAAAGTCCTCTTTAAGCCTCCAGGAGGATTGGAGTTCGCATGGATCTATTGCGCTGAGAGCTACAGACAGCTCATCCGTCCATTCGGGCTGCTGTAGCCCCAGCAGATCAAAGAGCAGATCCAGCACGGCTTTCTGCTCACATAAAGTTAATTAAATTGGATGTTGCGCATTCAAACCTTGGCTGCATTTACCCGAACTTCGCGCTGCTTTAAAAAAAGCACATCGACAATCGCCTTGAATCCCCCTTGATCTTTGGGGCTGCAAAAATGCATGATTCCTGGCCAGCTTTTCAGGATTGTCAGCAGGGCAAGGCGGCTGCAGTTCAGCCGAAGCTTGCGCTCATCCCTGATCGATTTCCATTAATATTATTAAATTCATCACAGTGCAGTTAAATACACCCACCTAGTCTTGTCCTTCCAGACATGCTTGTAATGGAAATCACAAAAGGGAGCGGCAAAACTATGCAAATCAATATGTGCCTTATTCCTGGTTTCCGGCCGATCCAGCAGCAGTAGCAGAATGCCGCACAATGTTTCAGCAATTTTCGGAATTTGGCAGTCGATCAAGTTTCGCGTGATTGCAGTTACGCCTCCAGAGTCAATGAATAGGGGAGGATTTAGTAAACCTGAAACAAACAAGTTGCTAATCAGCCCGAGTAGATGAGGCGAGAATCACTGAACCGACCGATTTCTGATAAAGTAGCCAAGCAGATTCTGAGCATTCGATCTTTTCCTTCGGTACCTTCATTGGTTAATGACACCAAACTCCTGGCCATAGCAATATCGAGTTTCGACGGTGCTAAGGTGACGATTTTTCTGATTAGTTTTATTGATTCGAGCCGCTCCAAGTCCATTTTAACATCAAGAGACCTGCAATTTCATTTTTTTAAATTAGTCCTGGAAATTCTCCTATCAATACCATTACCTGGCAATTAGGAAAGGAATGACTAGACTGTTGATGTGAAGAACATCAGCTTCGCCTTGAATGGTATGCCGAATGCATCTCAGACCTGCAGATCGGATGATGCTCGACTCGTTCAGCAGTGTTAGCCGCAAGCTGATGGTAAGCGCCCAAATAAGACACTGAAGTAAACCACTTACCTCGGTTACTTACCAAAGGAGAATATCCTTCCTGCTGAACTGTGTATCTTTGAGTTTACCCTCATAGTGCGCTAGGAGTTTGACGAAAGCATTCAAGTAGTTTAGAAGAAGTTTCTCGTCAATATGATGCTCGCAAAATTTGCTCAGTACGGCTTTGAAACATTCCTGGGGTTCTGCAATGGGGAAACATCCCTCAGGATTAATAAACTCTTAGAGGAAATGGCGATGTTGCTTCAGAAGCTACAACATTACTTATTTCGCCCCAGTTCCCATATAAATTGGCATATAAAAATGCATTTCACAATAGAGGCTTTCTTATCCGCAAAAGTTCTCTTAGAATATGTTAGTATACACGTCTACTTTTGCTTTATAGAGTTTAATAGAGCGTCTAACCGAGTGAACACCAGTATTCAAATAAATACTTAGTTGCTTAAATGCAGCTGGCAGGATCATCCTGAGTAAAAAGGAAGAACGCTTAAAATGCTATAAAATTTCAATCAGAACGCGAACTTGACTCTCAAAGGGACAACTCAAAAGAGGATTGGGGCCATTGAAATGTGAATCTGATGAAGAAACCGCAGAAAAACAGCAAGTAATCGAAAAGCTGTTATATAGAGAAAAACTAACACAGTAAATAATCATTTAAGGAAAAGTAGAAAGCCATCAGGGCTTGGCAGAAGACGAGATGTATCACTAAAAACCGTATAACAATGGGTAAAAATGCATCGATAGAAAATTTTCCAAAAACCTCATTCCTCAATTAATTGAATGCCTTTTTAAATGACCTCATTCTTTCTCAATCAATGCGAATCTGTACCTAAGGGCTCAAGTTGCACGCTACCATCTTAACATTCAGGTCAAACATTCGATCTGGTCATTATTGTATGAAAAACTTCAAGCTTCCAAAGCCTCGAACTGCGAAATCTTTGAACAACATTCACTACAGACTGAAAGACTTACCCAGCTTAAGGCAGGTGGTAAACAGATCCTCTTCCTTGTTCTTGTTGCCTGGAAGTTACTGAAAATTAGGTCGCCTGTAAGGTGGAAAGCTGAAGACAATTACCAGGTCGAAAGTTGGGCCTTCGGCTCTGATGTCCAAGGCGCTGGGACCGCAACATCCAACTGGATAGGGCCATTTTTTGTGAATCCTGTTTACACCCCCAGTTGGAAGTATACTATCACCGTTATATAGCCGCGAGTGATCGAAAATTTTTGCGTAAACCAGAGCTGCGTATTTCGCACATTTCCGCTGAATCACTTTGAGAAAACTGCCTCAAATCTCCTTACAAGGATAGTTTTAGTTTCATAATGTTATGGCGAAACGCAAACATCTCAAACTTTTAGGTTAGAGTCTTGCAAAGTGTCACTTGTTTGGAATTTACGACGTCATCCAAAGGAGCGTTCATGAAGTGGATGAAAATATCAGACAAAATGGGGCCAAAGGCCGTTGAAAAGGGTTTTGGAGATATTACTAAATTAAACCTTTAAATAATTAAGGTTCTTATTCATGAAGTTGCTGTTAAATGCTTTAAAATTTGGGAGTTTACTGGACATGTCAACATTGCCAACTGGACGTCAAAAAGTTGTTGAACTCAAGTCAAATTTTGAGGCGAAATAGTATGTAGTCTGTGTTTTGAGGAATAGCGAATAAGCGAGCATAGAAAATGTTTCTTCCTATTTGTTTGATTTTGCCACATTTTACTTGGAAAAGACGTATTCTTCTTGAGCGATAAACTTTTATTTGATTTATTTAGAATCCACCAACGTGTCCACTGTGCGGAAACAGCGCAATAATTTCCAGCATTCGAGCCACAGAATTCGTTTTGGCATCGTTGGATAGAGAATTGAAAACTCGATTCAGTCGTAACAAGGTGAGTGAGGAAATTTGAATAGTTTGGGCCCAGAAAGCGAAATTTGAATATCAGACACTTAGGTGCAAGAATATGCCAACATTTAATGTTTTCCGGCCCGTCTTTGCTCATATCTCGGAGGCAAAATGAGCAGGAACGCTCATGTGTACATCATTCTAGACAGAAATAAATGGCCTTTTTAGAAAGTGAACCATGGATGGGAAAATGTTGGCCCCTAAGACACCCCCCCTTGGATCCGCCCGTGAATGTCCTTCGCTTGGAACTCCGGCGAATCTGTGCCAAAAAATGGTTTCAGATAATTTTTGATGCGAAAAACAACCTGTTAGCTGTCGTCGGCCAATGAGAAACACGCATTAGGATTAAATAAATCTTGCATTTAATTCCAGAATAACAAGTATGCCATTAGGAACCTGTCTTTGCACAGCATTTATAATCATTGATCGATTTGCGCTTGGAAAGAAGGAAAATTCTCCTAGTCTTATAGCCTAGCTGATCTCAATTTGGCCCATTGGCTTCAAATCCTCCGCAACTTGGAAGTTGCATCCAGTGGTCATGAGCACGTCCTCAATTCCCACACCTTCCGCCAGCTCTATTAAGGTCAGGCCATTTTCCCTGTCCACTGAAAAGACCGCCTTCTCTGTTATGATCAGATCTACGACTTGTCTACCTAAAACCGAAACGAAAGTTGCAGGGGCTTTAAAAGCTTCGAGGGCTGTTATAAACCTGTTAAGGGCAGTGTGCAGTTTTCCAGAATCTTTTTGCTGCCGTCCTTAGCTGTGTGTTCCATGCAAACTACCACTTTGGTGCCCGGCGCTGCCACTAAATCCATCGCTCCTCCCATACCTTTCACTAGCTTACCCTAAAAAAGCCAATCAATCACTGAAAGCAACAGAGTAGCCAATCAATCACACGCTTACTGGGATCATCCAATTGGCTAAATCTCCAAATTGCGACACTTCCATTGCTCCCAGGATGGTTAAATCAATGTGCCCACTAAAGCGCAATGGCATTATTAAGGTGCAAAGCAGCCTCAAGAGTTCTTACCCTCTGATCATGGCGAAACTTTCATCGCTGCTGAAGAACGAAGCGCCTGGCACAACAGTGACGGTTTCTTTGCCGGCGTTTATCAGATCGGGATCGACGTTTTCGGGCGATGGAAAGGGGCCCAGGCCAAGAATCCCATTTTCTGACTGCAAAAACACCTCGATGTCTTTGGGGATATAGTTTGAGGCCAGCATTGGCATCCCAATTCCCAAGTTAGCTGCGATAATTGCCCGAAAAAAGTAATTATAATGCGCCGTAAACAGAAACCGGTATCTGTATAAGCCTACCATACATTCCATCTTTGAACTCCAACGCTGCCCTTCGGATGATTCTTTCGCGCGTTTCGGCTGCCGGATTTCTTTTTACTACTGAGTCGGTACTGTCGGAGACCTTCTGCACTGTGACCCTCTGGAAACAATTACTGTTGAATAGATGGAGTTTTGTCGGGGTCGAGTCGGCAAACCTCAATCCGCTTCTCAAACTTCTCCCCTACAACTATCCGATCGACGAAAATTCCTGGTACATGCACTTGGTCTGGAGGGATGCAGCCCAACTCTACAATTTCCTCAACTTCTGCTATTGTCACCTTTGCCGCCTTTGCCATCGTGGGATTGAAATTTCTTGCCGATTTGCTACGAAGGAAACACGGTTTTTCAACTGTTTACGCGCTAGAGGAGAAGGTTACTTGAAAACCAGGTTCCCGGCCGAATCAGCCTTCCAGGCTTTAATCAAGGCAAAGTCGCCGGTTATCGCCTCTTCCATAATATAGTCTTTGCCCTCAAATTGCCGGGACTCGCGCTGGTTGCTGGCGATTTCAATTTTTCCGCTACTATCATACTTAATGGGCGCCCCACCTTCATGCACCAAAGTCCCATAAGCTGTCGGGGTAAAGAAAGCTGGAATTCCTGAGCCACCGGCTCTTATCCGCTCTGCAAGTGTTCCCTGAAATGAACCGAAGTAAATGGTAAATCTTATCGAATTAGACAAGCCCTATCAAGTAAAATGGTACTTGTCTAATTCCATAAGTCGTTTTGGCTGGATCTGCTCTGTAATCTCGTGAATCAACCCATTTAAATAAATCTCTAGATAGTTTATTGAACGGGGAGTTACTTACTTGGGGAGTTAATTCCACCTCCAATTCCCCCGACAAAAACTGTTTTTCAAACTCCGCATTTTCCCCCACATAACTGGATATCATCCGCTTGATCTTCTTTTGCTTCAGCAGCAACCCTAAGCCGAACTTATCGACTCCCGCATTGTTCGATACCACTGTTAAGTTTTTGGCATCATGTAGCAGTAAGGCTGCTATTAGGTTTTCTGGAATTCCACATAGTCCAAACCCTAAATTGTACATGGGGATTTAGTTAATTATTAAAGTGACTTCACAGTGAATGGACATTGGTATGTTATATGAGAAAAATTCATGCCTACCTCCTATGAGCAATTTGGACTCATCCTGTATATCCTGGATAGCCTCTTTAATGTCCCGGTAGATCTTCTTTCTTTGGATATTGGTTTTCGTTGTAAAAGCACAGACCAGAATCTACTTAATCCAGAAAAGGCTTTATTTATTATTATGTGGCAAGGCTTTAAAAACACGGTTAATTTGAGCAAACAATTGCAATAAATTAAACAAATGTTTGCCAATCATTTCCACGTCGTAATAAACGATAACTCGCTCATTCATTAATAGCAACTTAAGTTTTACCTACAATAATTAAGGTGGATTTAAAAAAAGTCTAGGGAAAAAATGACCACCGTATATATCTTGAAACTCACCTTATTTACATTGTTCACATTTATACCTGCTCTTTTACTCGAAATCACTTTAGAACCGACGTTATTTGAAAAAAATAGGAACGATTTCAACATTTTATAACTTAATAGTGCAACTGGTAAATCTGCTAGATAACCTTTCCTTTCAAACAACTGATGTAAACTGCACGACCACGCTTATCAAATCTTGTGAAATAACCAACGAATAATAAGTACTTTATATTATTATTAATATAAAAATACCACAAAAAAAGTAAACAATAACAGAGTCAATGTCACCATGACAAAATAGAGCGCTGAAGTAGAAGTTTGAGGTTGTAATTCTTTGAGCCTACCACAGATCAGAGAGATTATAGACTATTTGTCGCTTAGTCTCAGCGGCTGCTTTCAAAACTATACTCTAATTTTTTGAATCAAAATTTAGCAAGATATTTGATTTCAGTTTATGGCTTCTGTGATTTCCGTTGTAGTTTCAATAACATTTAGGGCTTATAACAACTAGGGCTTCAATTAACATCACAATTAAAGGGCATTATGAGATGCTCGAAATATTATTGAAACTTAACAGATATCGTGGGGATCATAAAGTGAATTCAAATCTCCTATTAATATTTGTTGGTGTGAAAACTAGGACTAATTGGGAACATAAAGCACCTGAATTTCTCTTTACAATAGGTATTTATTAAACAAAAAAACCTTGAGATGTAATTTGTATTGAGATTACATGATTTTCCACAAAGTACTTTTCCACAAGTCATACACAAAGCCGGTATTTTAAATTTGGAGTCTAGTAAAGACAAACTGAATTAAAAACAGTTTTTTCCTTGTCTAACCCGCCAAATAATAAAAGTGGGTTATATTAAAAATAACTAATCGTGGTAAACGGCAACGTTGGACTGTCCTTTTTTAGCTGCACAAATTCACAGATTACAGAGAGCGTTAACCTCTGTGATCTGTGCACATATTACAGATAACCTCTGTGATCTGTGTTTAGCTGCTCCCAAATTTTGTTTATATGGTTTATGCTGCTGCCAGTTAAAAAACACATACTTAATTAAGCCTCAAAAAACTCTTCCAGGTACTGAACAATGCTTTTTAATTGGCAAAACGGTACATTTTCACATTCAAGTTCAAGTACACTTAAATCTGTACATTAGCCACATTTCATTCACATACATTCATATTTGCATGTTTCAAGTACATTAATCTGCTAAGGTACTTCAAACAGCTCCTGCTGATAAAACTGTTCATTGTCAGTACTCAGCACTCCAAGCGTCCAATTTACTTGAAAATCAGAAGCATGATTTGGTCAGCAACATCCCCCAAAATAGCCCTGGCACTCTGCTTCTTGATTGTGGGGCTCTGCGAGGCTGTAGACGACCCCACGATTGTCTGGGCACGAATTGAAGTGAGTACAATTTTCAGTAAGTACAAATTTCAGTGAATGAATTGGCAACTTGGGATATTTTTAGTATTATCAAACAGTCATTTTTTAGTCCTATTTAGTTTGTTAGGCCCTCATTTTCGAAGTTAACAATATCACAGAGATCACACTCTGAGATCTGTGAACAATATGCTTACCGTATATTGGAGCAAAAATTGGAGCCTGGGCAGAGTTGAGCGTAATTTTCAAGATTTTTAGGCCCCAAGTGTCTTCTATGGGATTTGGAAATTTCAAGTGTCTGCTTACTCTAGATTGGTAGTTAAAATTTTCTGAAACAAAGAGTGCAATTGGACGAAAACGCCCCATTTTATGACAGCTTTTCCAAGTCAGCAAAAATCAGTCTTTAGGGCGATTTGTGTAAGATTGTCAGAATTTAGATATTCAACTTTTAGGCTCAAGTGTTTTCTAGAGACAGTAAAAGTTTTAAGTGTATGTCTGCTCCAGATTGGATGTTGGCATTTTTTGGATCAAAAAGGACATTTGGTCTAGAAATCCTATTTTTATGCTAACTTTTTCAAGCGAACAAAAATCAGGGATTAGGGAGATTTGGGCGAAAGTTTTAGGAATTGGAGACTCAACTATCTTCTACGAACGATCTTTGAAGCAAAAGCTAGATCTGGTCCAAAACGCCCATTTTTAAGTCAATTTGTCCAAGTCGGCAAAAATCTTCAGGATTTTTGAGATTTAACTATCTTCTATAAATTGGGAAAGTTAGTAGGGAAAGTAGAACAGGCAGATACTGCAATCTGCCTGTTCTAGATTGGAGGCATTTTGAGCAAAAGCGCCCATTTTTATGTCAACTTATCCAAGTAGCAAAAATAGGAGACTGTGTCGATTTGAGCGTAGTTTTCAGGAATTTTGGGTTCAACTGTCTTCTACGGACTGTGAAAGTTTCAACTATCCCAATCATTTTGCTAAAAACTTTTCTTATTGGTTTGTATTGCGGAAATGCGGGTTTCCATCACTTTTTACTTTATTTTCTTCTAATTTCGGCCACCACATTAAATTATCCGTCTATTTTTTAAAACTTTTCTTGTCAACAAATTATTTAGATGCTCCTGTTAAAAGTCCAATACCACACTAAACTCTTAAAAATGGAGCGTTATCTCTTAGAAAACTGTCTTATTTTCATGAGATCCCTCAAAAAGATCCACTCACATGTTTCACTCTACACTCAAATTAACCCAGTATTTATTGGTGTTTTCTAGTCTTGTGCAGGCTGTAGTCTGAAGCGTCTCATCCAAGTGCGAGACTTTTTGAACGTGGATGTGCCCAAGTATGAGAACGTCGAATGGAAGAAAATCCAGGGAGCGCCTCCAGAGATCATCTTCTTCAACGAGGCAGATCAGGAAGTGGAGAGAGAAAAACTGGAAAGGTACACCAGAAAAGAGTGCAATGAACTGTTGGTCAGCAAGGGCTTCCAGAAGAAAAAGGAGTTCAAGGAGCAAATAGATCAGGAGCTGTAAATTTGATGTGGGAAAATAAAGGCATCGGTTTGATGATCGGTTCTATGAAAAGCAAGTTTAATTTTTCCTCAATCTTATCCTAAGTAATATGGCAAAATAGTGCCATTCAATAAGTCTGTTTTGGTTTAAAAAAAACACCAAGTCTAAGGCTTCGCCTGCTATCAATTTCCAGAAGATTTAAAAACTTAAAAAAAAAAATTTTTAGGAGTTGGCGCAGTGCGGCGCAAATGGCTTGGTGCGCCAAGTTCCTCTTCTAAATACTCAATTTTATAAAGTTTTACCTGAAAATGCTGACAAATTTAAGTTACTTTTCGCAAAAATATGAAATACATTTCGAATCCTTGTAAAAAGCTTTGAAATGTTAGCTTTGTAAAAATTTTACAAAAACTTTTTTCAGCGTCGAATTTGGGACAAAAACGAATACAAATTCCTCCCGTTTTTTCCCGAAAACCATTAAGATTCAATTAATTTAAATCGGAAATGCAAAAAACCATTATTTTCTGATTTTCTGACAATAATGGGGTCTTTTCAGCCAAAAATTACAATATTAATTTTGCCTCATTCATCGGTTTGCAAGGAACTTTAGGAAACTCTTCTCAGCTTTGAATTTGACACAAAAACCAAATCATTTAATTCTGTTTTTTACAAAAAATAATGAGGATTATCTTGAAAAAACGACCAGCAAAAGTTTAAAAAAAATTATTTATAAAATGCGCCGTCCATCGCTCATCGCTCTGAAGATTTTTAAAGTTTCTTTAAATGTCAGGTCATTTCAGTTTTAACAAAGTCTATTAAGTAATAATTTCTACGCAAAAATCGCATTGTTATTTAGTTCAAATACTAACAATATTCAGGTATTTTTTTTGAAAAATTATAAAATAAATTTTATTGGAACACTTGCCTCCAAACTGCGTTTTTTCTAACATTTTACTATAAAATACTGGAAAAGTGAATCTTTTATGTAAAAAACTTAAGAGATCGATTTTACAAGAAAACTCGTCGACTTTCTTTGGACTCAGTTCTGTTGCTGGAAAAATCTAGATTACATTTTTCAGTTGTTTGAACAAAGTTGTGCATAACAAAACGTTTTGCAGAAAAAATGTTGATGACCTTTTTTTTAGATGTGCTTTTAGATTAACCGATGAGTTATAACTCGTTAACTCAGAGAGCGGCAACAACTCAATATCAATTTGAACTCAATTCAAAGTCGGGATTTTTTCACGCAAAAAGTGTCTAGGCAAAAATCCCATTTTTGTGCCAACTTCTACCGTAGGGCAAAATCAGCATTTAAGGTGATTAGGCGAAACTACTTGCTTTCGATTGAAACTTACAAATTTTTCAAGTATCGTGTGCAGTTGTTTGGACACTAAGTAGGCAAAAATCGGCGACTGAGACGATTTGAGCATAATTTTCAGAATTTTGAGATTCAAGTTTTCAATGTTGGTACAGCACTAAACGTGCCTGATAAACTTAATAATCTACATTTCTAGGGTTTTACGCTGTGAATTATAAAATTCGCATAATTTTGGGCGTAGATTGCAAGCCTTTATCGGGATGTCTATGGCGTCAAATGTTTTTCCTTTAAATTGCCTAATCGAAACCTGCAAAGTTGGTTTCTGATAGGAATTTCCTGTGCTCTTGTGTCGTTCTCTCACCCACAACTTTTCGTTATTTAATCCATTGTTCTGGTCGGTAATTGGAAGCGGCAAACATCGAATTTGTACAACTAAATCAAACTACCTCAATAACGAAATAAAATATCCTGGAATTGAAACGATTGTAAAAAACTACCTTTTTAGAAGAAACGACTCTTTTCCATACTGTGAGATTTGGAAAGTCATCCTCTCTCACTAGATTATTAATCAGCAGTTAAGGTAACATCGAAATAAGAGTTTTTTGATTAAACTGGAAAAATTGCCTTAATAGAGCCAAATAGGCGTAACTTCACCGTACATCTTCAAAGGTTTCTTCTTAGACAACAAAATTCAAGAAAAATCTTAAATTGACTGCATGGTAAACGCTAGATTTTCCCCCAAAAACGAGCTTCCCAGTTGAAAAACTTAGCATTGTTGCACTTTGCCGCTTTCTGGAGCTCTTCTACCCAATATTATCGTAATACTGATAAATAATGTTGCAATACTGCTCAATGTTTTTGCAGTCAGACTAGTTTGCTAAGAGCAACAGTGCCGATAGCATGGGGGTGCTGAGTTTTTGCGCTCTAGCGCTGCTTGCTTTCAGCATCCAAGTGCATCATACCCGGTTAGTAGATTAAAGGCCTTAACAAGGCTTCATTGAGCTGAGATTTCTTCGTTTTAGTGGTCAGAGTTATATTCCGCAATTTCTCAAATCGAAATACACCAGTTTGGATACGACAGGAAACGCAGCTGGGTAAGAAAAGACTTTGTTTAAACCTGCGTTGATCATCCTATTTGCAATTTTCAAACCGATTTCTTTTTGCCTTCTGGTTCAGAAGTGGATTTTCATACCTTAATGAACATTTGATAGTTTATGTGCTTGTTAAAAGTGTGTTCTTCGCCTCACTGTGGTTCGCTTTCCTTCACTCAGCTTCGTTTCGCTTCTCTTCGTTTAATGGTTGAACGGTTTTCTTCTGTTTCGGGACTGCTCAGGCTGTGAAGAAAGGCCCTTAAAAAAAATATTTTTTACTGTTTGTGTAGTGGATTCGACTATTTTTCCTGCACTTTCAAATGCGGTATCTTGCGTTGTTGCGTGTTGTTCTGAACCGCTTCGCCTCACTTAATTGCGAATTCGACTTAAGACACTAGTTATATTTTGGACTTCGGAATTTTCCTTTTTAAAAACTTTATTTTCACAATTACAGCAATTACTTCCTTTAACTCTGACTTCCACAATTATGCGTTTAGCAAGTATATATAAGTTATAAATCCAAGTTAGCTTAAATTATGATAGTCCGGGCAGTTTTGAGGTTTAAGCGTCACGTAACTCACTTAATTCTCAGCCTTTCAAGACACTTTTTCGAAAACTTTTGCACTTTGAATATGATAACTTTGGCTATTTTATTTGCTTGTCGAAAGCCGCTTCTTTTCGCTTGAGTTTGTCACATGTCGCTTCACCTCTGTGATCTGCGTTTTTTGTGTTCTTTGCACATTTTCAACCGTTACGACTATTTTTCAGATAAAAAATCAAAGCGCAAAAGTTTTTTTAACGAAGTGCATGCAGCACAGGGAAAATGAGGCAAGATCCCAAACAATGTTCGCCTGTATCTTAAAAATTTGCATAAAATTGAGCATTTAGAAGAAAGAGTAACTTGGCTGAAACTGGAAAATTCTGAAATTTTGAACAAATTTTTAAAATATTAGTAATGAATGGCCCTTGAGTAAATCTAAAAACAAGTAAAAAAGTAATATTTTTTCAGCCAGCCACGTGCGTGGCGCTGCGCCGGCTCCTAAAAATTCACTGAGTTACCCAAGCCTAACACTTACGATTAAGATTTGAAGATTGTACAATATTTTCTTTCTTTGCTGATGGTTTGCTGAGGATATATAAAATTATATAGGGATATTATAAAATTTTTCCAAGTGCAAAACCCGAATCCTACACTGGTTATGGAGGACAGAGCTACGTTGAGGAGGGTCACAGTTTTGGTGAGAGCGCTAGCATTCCAGTGAGTGAAGCTCACTCCTACCTGTCAGGAGGCAGCTATGGAGGAGGAGGAGGAGGATTTGCCAATGGGGGATATGGAGGCTCTTTCAGCGCGTCCGGATCGCTTAGTGGCGATTCTCATGGCGCCCTCAAAACCAAGACAAAGACAAAAACCAAAACCAAGTCCAAAACTGGAAAGTACAGTGGAGGTAATTTAATCAATGATGGGAGAAATTGGGATAGTTGGGAAAAACATGCGAAAAGTGCGCTTGTTGCACCTGAAAACTCACAATCGCCCAGACTCTAAAAGTCCTGTAAAGGATCTGCTCATTTTAGGTTGCGGAAGCGCTCCTCCTTCCCCAATGAACGCCGGCATGCGATGCTCCTCCTATGGTGGCTGTAGGGCGGACTGCATTCCAGAATATCAGTTTCCAAATGGGAAAACCCAGCTGTCCATCGTGTGCCAAAATGGGAACTGGAAAGTGGCTGATGAGCCCAGCTGGGCCACTGTTCCATCCTGCCAACGTATGTTGGAAATTTCCAGCCTCCCATGTTCTAGGAATGTTAATTTGCAGCCATTTGCCTGCCCGAGTGCATCAACAATGGGATTTGCTTGGCCCCGAACCAGTGCCAATGTCCGGAGAACTTTGGCGGGCCGCAATGCCAGTTTGAGAACAAACCTTGTCTGAATCTGCCGGTTTTGCCGAGAAATTCCAAACGATCCTGCCGTGCCAAGTAAGTGCCCTGGTTTTTTCATAATTGCCTTTTAATCTTTGCATCGAACCTTCAAAATGCAGGCAATGCACCATAGAATGCCTGCCAGGCCATCAGTTCCCTGATGGATCCTCCATCGCAACCCTGATATGCAACAACGGGTTTTGGTTGCCTGGAAAAGCCCAATGGGCTGCCATTCCAGACTGCAAAGGTACTCTTGAAAAATCCTGCAAATTTTCAGGCACTTCATTGCTTTTTCCTCTAGCCACATGCGTCCCGCCTTGTTTGAATGGAGGCTCCTGCCTGTCCTACAACGTGTGTCAATGCCCTCAGGACTTCAGAGGCCCTCAATGCCAATACAGTGAGTGTGGCTGATTTGAGAAAATTTTGAGCTTTTATGTGGTATTTTGTCCAGGTGCCAGTGTTTGCAGTGCTAAAAACATGCAATTCAACGGAGGCTACAATTGCTCAGGCGATATGGACTCTTTCAGTTGTGCGATTTTCTGCCCAGAAGGGATTGCGTTTGAGTTTGTGCCCGAAGCAAAGTACACCTGCTTTTATTCGACGGGACAATTTTTCCCCAGCCCCCAACCGCAGTGCATTTTCCGTGAGTTTTGTAAGTGTTTAGAAAATCTCATTTTTCACCCTATCAATTGCAGCTGAACACTCCGAAGTGATTTCCCATGGATCCAGCTCGCAGGAGTTTCATTCGGGGGAAATGTATCATATTGGCGGCCAGAGCAGGCAGCAGAACTCCTTTACCCGCCTGGATAATCCAGAGGAGGAGTTTGAAATATTCCGGCACAAATCCTTTCGGCATAACGTCGAACATGTAAGGGTTTGGTGGGTGGATCGACCAACGCTTTGAAAGCACACTTTTTTAGCAAACTCCCGAGACCATCATAAATCAAGTAGATCAACTGATGGTGGTTCCAACCAGCGGCTACGAGGCGATGGAAAATAATTTTGTGGATTTGGTGCCCAAGCCTGGATCGTGTTATGCTTGGGGCGGCTCGCACTACAAGACCTTTGATGGGAAGATTTACAGGTATGATTCCAATTGTTGTTAAACAGCTAAGAAAACATGCATTTTGCGCCTTCCAGTTTCGAATCCCGGTGCTCCCATGTGCTTCTAAAGGACGCAATCGACAATACTTTCAGCGTATTAATCCGCAATCATCCAGACTGCTTTAAAGGAGTCGACCCAAGCAAATGCCACAAAGTAATCAAGGTTTTCGTGCAAGGAAAGGAGTATTTCTTGAAACGATCAGGTAACAGGATTTTAACTTGATATTTGAGTGTTCTTATTCATAAAAACTCCCGAATTGACGTGATTAATCTTCATGGAAAACTTCATCTGTAGAGCAAGGGCTTCCCATATTTGCTTCTGCGAAAAAAATCCTGCCCATTCCCGGACACTTACCGGGACTAAGAGTGAACATTGCAGGCAATTTTGTGGTTTTATCCATGGATTCTATGGGGCTTGTTCTAAAATGGGATGGTAAACAGCTGTTGCATGTAGAGGTAAAGATTTCGTTATAAAGATTCTTAATTGACTGTTTGCAATAGTTTTTTGGTTTAACTTTAAATTTGCATAGAAGAACACATGAAAAAGTGTACCTAAGCTGAGCTATTTTTTGAAAAAAGTGACGCGGAAATCTAAAGGCCCTTTTGCACGTATTTAAATGCTTTTGCAAATGTTCGGCAAAGTGTGCCATTGAGGCAGCATATACATTTTAATTGAAAATTCGGAGAAATTACCAAATCGAGCAGAGTGCAAAGTGTTGCTTGATTGGCGATTTCGAAGTATTTTACGAAAAATAGAATTTGGGCAATTAAAATTCGATTTTTTTAATCCACCTATAATCTACATTCAAGTTTGCAAATTCAACTTTTATAGTTATAAAAACACTGTGAAAAACCTTCCAGAAAAAAATTCAGAGTAACACGATATGTAGTGCAATTACATTTTATGAGCTCAGTTTCTAACATTACAGTATGATTTTCACTCCAAATTACTCGCAACTTATGGGCATTGGAAAGCCCATTCCATAACAAACAATTTTTGTCTCTTAAAGTTTATTCTTGAACCAAACGGTTTTTGAGGAAAATAAAAGTAAAACTGCTAACCAATTAATTAATGTTTGGTTACTTAATTAATTGCTTTTAATTAGTTTATCAATCAGTTAATTTCGTATCCAATGACTCTTTTTAGCATTTAAAGTACATTTTTTACATAATTTGTTCCTTAGTTGTTCTAGGTAAAAAAATCACAATTTGCGCGCTTACGACACACATTTGACTAAATTGCCAAATTACTGTTTAAGCGTTTTTCTTGAAAATATTCTCGAAACTAAAAGAATGGTTAGTCCTCACATTTATTGTAATGATTCTGTAAAAATATTCTTGCATTTGCTAGGGGAAGCGCTGAACTTAACACCGAAAATTCACAATTTGCACGTTTACGACACACATTTAGCTAAATAGATTTTAAGTTTAATTCTGTAACAGTTTTGAACGTTTAATTTTGCAGTTTGCAAAGATTTGACGTTGTAAAACAACGTCTACTTTTCGTCATATCGGAACGTTTATTTAACTTACCTACCTTAGTACCTTTACGACACACATTTAACTGAAATTCCAAATTACTGTTTTTGCGTTTTTATTGAAAATATTCTCGACAATAAAAAAAAATGATTAATCCTCACATTTTTGTAATGATTCTGTAAAGATATTCTTGCATTTACTTTTGGAAGCGTTGAACTTAACACCAAAAATTCACAATTTGTGCGTCTACGACATACATTTAGCTAAATGGATTTTAAGTTTAATTTGTCAGAGTAACATTTTTGGCGAAATTTGTACGTTTACGACACACATTTAACTGAATTTCCAAATTACGGTTTTTGCGTTTTTATTGAAAATATTCTCGAAAATAGAAAAATGATTAGTCCTCACATTTATTGTAATGATTCTGTAAAGATGTTCTTGCATTTGCTTTCGAAACCGCTGAACTTAACACCAAAAATTCACAATTTGTACGTTTACGACATACATTTAGCTAAATGGATTTTAAGTTTAATTTGTTAGAATAACGTTTTTGGCGATTTCATCTTCTACTTAATTCTGTTATGGTTTTGAAAGTTTAATTTTTCCGTTTACAAATGTTTGACGTTGTAAAACACGTTGTAAACAACATCTAGTTTTCGTCATATCGGAACGTTCATTTAAGTTCAAATCATACAATTAATTAGTTAATTTTCAAATTAGTGTTTTTTGAGATTTTATCGAAAATAATCTGAAAAAACTCGTTATTCCTCACCTTTATTGTAATGGTTCTTTAAAAATATTCGTGTATTTAGTTTCAGAACCGTTGCAAATAAACAATAATTTATAATTTGTACGTTTACGACACACATTTAACTGAATTGAACTGAAGAACTGAATTCTCGGAAATAAAAAAAAATTATTAGTCCTCACATTTATTGTAACGATTCTGTAAATATATTCTTGCATTTACTTTCGGAACCGCTGAACTTAACAGCAAATATTCACAATTGGTACGTTTACGACATACATTTAGCTAAATGCTTTTGATTGAGTTTAAGTTGAATTAATTGAAACTTTCTAATTCGGCAATTTTGAACTATTTCATTTTGAACGTTTCAAGTTGCCAATAATTAAAGTCGCAAGACTACTTGAAAATTCCTTCTTTAAATAAACTCGATACTTATTTAGCTCTGTCGAACTCTCGTCTTTCTGTAGTCTCGATTTAGCGTTTATTCCTGCTTGTAAATTTAGTGTTATAGAAAGGCACGCATTCTCAACGTAATTTTATGCGCATCAATTGCTAAGTCCGGAAATGGATTTAAGCTAAACGTTGAGTTAATAATTTGAGTCAAACAATACAATTTTTACATTTAAAATCGCCAGGTTCAAGAAAGTCTATGGAATCGAACCGAGGGACTTTGCGGTAAAATAGACGGAGACAAACGTAACGATCTACTCACCAAAGAAGGCCATCTATCCAAAAGCATCGCCACTTTAGCATCCAGCTGGCAAGTTGATGATCTCGAAGGTACCAAACTTTTCCAGTTTGGAAATTGTTTCAATTCAATCCTCCCATGCCCTCAGATCCTTGCAATGACACCCCCAGGGAAGAGCACGCCTGCAGCGGCTATCTGGAGCAAGAAGCCGCGGATTTCTGCGGCAAAATCCTGTCGGATCCCCGATTTGCTGCCTGTTTAAAGGTTTGAACTCTATGGTTGGAAAACCTGGCCTTTTCCAGCTGAAGATGGGTTTCAGAGCATGGACCTAACGGCGCTTCTGGACTCCTGCAAATGGGACTACTGCTCCTGCAAAGACAGCGATAAGTCCACCTGCACCTGTGAAACTCTGGAAGTTTATGTGAAAGATTGTAGCCATAAGGGAGTGAAAACCATCGTTCAATGGAGGGATGAGAAGACTTGCCGTAAGAGCTTCAGATGGTGGTTTTGAGGAAAAGTTGGGATAATGGAAGGTTTTTGCAGCCATGAAATGCACTGGGGGTAAAGTTTACATGCCGTGCGGCCCGAAGAATGGCCAGCCAATGTGCGGGACCGTCTCAATGCTTCCGGAAGATGACGACTCCTGCAACGAAGGCTGCTATTGCCCAGAAGGTACCTGAAAGCTGTTGCAACGACTAGTAAAAAAATAATCTGCTTCTTCCAGGGACGGTTCTCCATGAAAACAGGTGCATCACCAAGGAGCAATGCCCATGTAAACTGCGTGGGAAGAAGTTCGATCCTGGTGCATCCATTCCAAAAGACTGCAACACTTGCACTTGCAGCAATGGACAGTGGGACTGCACGCAGGTAAGACGTGGATGAACTTTCCCTGCAAACCAGTCTGATTATGGTTTCCTGAAAGGTTTTCTGTGGAGCGCGATGTGCAGCAGTTGGAGACCCTCACTATGTAACATTCGACGGAAAAGCCTACGATTTCATGGGCCAATGCTCCTACTACCTGGTGAAGACCGATGAGCTTTCCATCAAAGCTGAAAATATCGCTTGTGCAGGCTCGATTTCGCAGGCCATGAATTTTCCTGCTAGTGTTTCAGCTGGTGAGTGCGATAACATTCAAATTATCGTTGTGGTTTATTAGTAGTTTTAGGGCTTCCATCGTGCACCAAAACCGTAACCATACGAATCAGCGGCCAAGTTATTAAGCTGAAACAGAACCACGACGTCGTAGTGAACGGGGCCGATGTGACCAAGATTCCCTACAACGTTTCAGGGAGTATCATCAGAGCGGTTTCTTCCATTTTCCTGCAGGTGAGAAAACACCAACATTGCAAAGCCCTCTTTCTAAACTTTCAGGCGGTTTCCAGGTCGAACTCCCGAATGGAATCGAGGTGTGGTGGGACGGAGTTTCCAGAGCTTACATCGATCTTCCAGCCAGTTTTAAGGGCAAAACCAGGGGCTTGTGTGGCACATTCAACAACAACCAGAAGGACGACTTTGTAACGCCGGAAAACGATGTGGAACAATCGGTTATTCCGTTCGCCAACAAGTGGAAGACGCTGGAAAAGTGCAACGATGTTCCGGATGTTTTGTCCGCTCACCCTTGCGATGTTAATTTGCATCACAAACCCACTGCAGAGCGACATTGCGCGAAGATTAAGTCGGATTTGTTTAAGGCTTGCCATTGGTAAGTCATAAAATATAGGGGGAAGATTACGTTAGTTGTGTGCGCTGATTATGGAAGATTGTGGAAGTCGAGTGCAAGAAACAGTCTAAGAGCGCCTTAAAAACAGTTAAGTTACACTTTGGCCTATCAGCTAATATGATTTTTTTCATTTAGGTTTCTGGATCCAGAGCAATTTTACCAGAACTGCTTGTACGATATGTGTTCATGCGAGTATCAAGTTTCTAGATGTCTGTGCCCGACGGTTTCAGCTTACGCCACGGAGTGTTCCAGAAAGGGTAAGTCTCTCGGGAATTAAGCTGTAAAAGGAAACTGAAGGAGTCTGATGCTTTTGCTCGAAGTTTAAAAAAAGACCGTTGTAACTCAATTCGTTAGAAAATAGAGGTAAAACCGGAGCAAGAGCGACTTTCCTGGAAAGCTGATTAATCACTGTCGCCCATGAGCTTTTAACGCTACAAATAAAACTTTTCCGATCGAAAGAAGTGAGAGTGAAATTAGTGTTTTTCATTTAATTCAATCGCACTTTTTCGGAAAATTCTGCATTTTTTCTGGCTAGATGTAGACTCTCCAATCATGAAGTGATTTTTTGGAAATTGACTTCGCTATTTTCGCCTTATCTCGCGAACCGGTTGAGCTACAGAGCCCGTTTTCCGAAGACATTTGGTTCAAGATTAGCCCAAAATTTCATGTTTTTTGCCACTTTTTTGCTCATTTATCATAAATACATTGAGCCAAAGCGCACCTGCATATCAAACTTCCTTCACCACTGTTTAAAAATTAATTCTTAAATAACCAGTATCTCGATTTAAACCGAATTCGGACCACGAGTCACTTGAGGCTTTCTTCATTTAGCACTGAAATTCCTCTAAAGATATGTGGAAAACCTTTTCTTTACCGTGCACTTGATGAGCATGACGCAAAAATGGAAAACTCCGCAAATATTTTCCAAGGATTAAAAATTGATTCTCAAATAACTCGTTTATCAATTTAATCCAAATTCACCACACTAGTTGAATGATTTTTTTTCTATTGAACACGAATATCGGTTTAAAGCAGTCTGGAAAATCCACAGCAAGTTTTTAAAGTGAAAAGTCTCTAGAAGAGTCATCCAGAGAAGGAAAAGGCGAAACCTTTCAGGCCTTGAAGTTGAGTGTTTCCGCACCTAAGGAACAATATGATAAACATATTGATTTTTTTATGTTCATGTTAAATAAAGTGAAAATTCTCTAAACGATAGAATAATGTTAGGGAGAACCATCCAGGGAAGGAAAAGGCGAAACCTTTCAAGCCTTGAAGTTGAGTGTTTAACGCACTTAAGGCAGAATGTGTTAAACATATTGATTATTTTATGTTCATGTTAAATACAGTGAAGTCTCTAGACGATAGAATAACATTAGGGAGAACCATCCAGAGAAGGAAAAGGCGAAACCTTTCAAGCCTTTAAGTTGAGTGTTTAACGCACCTAAAGGAGAATGTGTTAAATTACAGTGTGTTATCACTCAGCATTTGATGAGCATGATGGAAAACTAGAAAACCCCGCAAATATTCGTTCGATTTAAACCGAATTCCGGCCATAAGTAAAGCTTTCTGCATTTAGGACTGAAATTCCTCTGAAGATATATGGAAAAGCTCTTCAACACCGTGCACTTAATGGACATGATGCAAAAAAACCTGCATATATCATGTACAGGGTTATTCACGCTATACGGCACAGAAGTTTGCGGCTAAACTGTTTGATTTTTAAAAAGTATTATTTTATGAATCGTACGACGCCTACCGAGCACACATTTTAAAAATATTTTTGTAATGTACAGGGTGTCCTAAAGGCCCTAAAAGTATCAAAGTGGCGTTTTTTAAATGGAATGTTCTGTATATTATTGCATTTTTGGATTCGCTGAACAAAATAAGTGTCTGTTTTAATAAGGTTTATAATACCTAAAT